TTGAGGATTTAAACGAACTTTTCCGACGAAGTCTTACAGAGCCAATATCACCAACTTTACATCGAGATATCGAAGCACTATTACGAGACGGGATGTTTACACTTAATGCAAAACTGTTTGGTGTGACCGACGAAAAGCTTATGGATCGTTTAGTGGAACAATGGTCATTCTTCTTTGGCAACGTACTACCATACTTTGAAGCAACATTCTTGCCACTACGAACCGATGTCCGGTATGCAACGATCGACGACATGGAATACTGGAACGTACGCAACATGGCGCTTCAAAGCTTCCGTGACTATGTTATCTTACCATTGATAAAGCGGCTTGAGGGTAAGAATGTTCACATTGTCTTGGGTTTGTCCATAAGCGCTCACAAACGTTTCTTTTACAGATATGTTTGATAAATTGTTCACCGACTTTGAATCCTCGCAGAATCCTGCCGCAACCGCTGCCAAAATGCTGCAAATGACTTCAATACTAGCATCTGTGCCGGATCATAGCCCAGACATAGATCGCATTTTGGCCAAGTTGAAGGCGAATTGGAAAATATTGATGAATAAGGGTAACCGCCGTGGTTTCGTAGGTGCCAGATCTCAAAAGTTTGTTGGAGACCGTATCTTTGGTACCATCGCATAGTAGGGCATTTTGCACCGTTGTATATACATACTTGTATCATAACTTCATATTATTATATAATCCCAGCCGAAGTCTTACAATATCTAGTTTATAGTATCAACGATAAGCGGCCTGTAATGGACACAAACCCAATAAAGTTGGCAATGGCATCCAAATAATCTCTACAACCTGGCTAGTAAACCCCTGATCAACTTTATGTTAAAATTATAGTTTGCTACATTGTTTATTTTTCATCACAAACATTGAATCGGTACGGGTACCAACATCTTTTACTTCAGTACTATCTTTATTTTAGCTTTTCTAATGCATGATCAAAAATTGTGTGAATGGCCACTTGAAGGTCTTTCAGTGTACTGGAGGAGTCAGCATGCACATGTCCACTGAAACAGGCTGTGGCATTATCAGTAATTTCAATAAGTTTGTAGATGCGCTCTATCAAAAGCTTGATTCCTAGGTAAACTCCAAATTCTTGCTTGAGGTCAATGAACACCGCCAGCGATATTTTAAGTTTAGAGACTATCCGTTTCACTCGGACCAGTAGCTGTTGTGATTGCACTGAAGAATATGTGCCTGAGAACGTTAAGCAGCGACTAACAGAGCTATCCAGTAGGTATTCCAATTTTTGCTCAGCAATAGCAACCAGCACAGGGTGTTTAAAGCTGCTGTTCTTCTCAAAATTCTTTGCCAAATATACGATAACGTCGACTTGTGCCTCCACGGCTCCCAGTCCGAATGGATCACTGGCATCGGTGGGAGTATCACTCCTCTTGATGACGAAGCCGTAGACAGCACCAAGCAATAGTAAAAGAGTAAAAATGCGAAAAGTATACATAATGTGTGAAAAAAACAACAAACGCAATGAGTACTTTTATATCATTCGGTTTAGGGAGCAACCGCTGGATAGCCTGTATGGTGTCCATGGTTGTATAAAAATCTTGCTAGTGGCTACCTTTTTCTAGTATTCTATAATTTCTAAAAATAATGGAGCTCTTGACATTCATTTCCAATTATTGCGCTACCTTTTGATATACAGCGGTTTGAACGCGTTCCAGTGTTACTTGCTTTCTTTTAGAACAAGGTACGTGTGCTATAAGCTTTAAAAGCTCTAGCTGCCCTTTGCAGGCATCCCTTCGAATACAGGAGAGCCTGATTCCTCTCCTATTGTTAGTCGTAAGGAACCGAAGCGAGCGACTGGAAATCACCGCCGATATCAATGCTTCAAAAAAATAAATTCAGGAGTTACAAACTGCCCCGGCCAAATAACTTAACAGAATTTTTTTCTACGTGCAATACCCTATTCGCTTTACTATGCACGCAAAATCAGGGCGGAAATGGTGTCCGAATTACTGAAGCATTCAACGATTTCACTGCAGTAGATGCTAATCTAGCACACACAATTATCACTTCCGAAATTAGGTGAAGTGCAAAGGTGAAAACACAACTTTGCTGAATATGTAAGATTACCCTTATCCGACAATAGCATTCGTATAGCTGGATTTCGACAGAATGAAAAAACTTACCAAGCAGTGAGTTTTGCCCGCTACTCCATAATTAACTCAGTAAACAAATGTCATATTGATAACTCTTTTTATATAAGAATAATTATAATTTTGCTAAACTCTTTTCCAAAATCTTGATAATGGTCTTCAAAAGGACTTCGACCTTCACTCTTGCCTCTGTTGGCACATGTGAGCTATAGCAGCTAGCTGCCTTCACTATAAGAATTTTCATTTGGCTGAGGAGTACGCGAAATACAATTCTAGGACTAAAGAGCCCAATCTTGCTTGCCAATCGTTCGCAAATAACCAAGACTCCTTCCAGCTGCTTTGAAATGGCCGTTGTTTTTGTAAGCAAAATTTCCGCTTCCATTTCGGTGAAGGGATCTGGATGGCTCAAGCAGAGGCCAGTGGACTTGGTTATCGCATCTTGAAGATCGAGATAGGCTGCTATGAACTTGACGGGGCTGACAAACGGACTTGTCTGTAACTGCTTTGCAATTGTCACGAGTGCATCAACTTTGCTCTCGATCATGTCAATTGCCAGGAATTTGTCCAGAGCTACACTTTTCTTGACGGTTATAGCTTGAGCAAAGCTGATGGCCAGAAATAGGACGAGAATTAAATGTAAGCGCATGTTGACTTTTGATTGAAGATCACACATAGATCCGACACCTCTTTTATACTTCAGTCAACGCCGTCTAAGGAGATGCAACATCCCGTTTCATTGATTTTTTGTACTAAAGCCCTCGGACGATTTTTTTATGTTCGATAAGTTCTTATAATGGGCTACCATCATTGAATATTCCATCACCTGCATACTTATACCTTCTCCCAGTATTACCTACCACTTCTTCATGCCTCGCTATGATGTTATTCACACCTTGCCGCTGTATAGCAATGATTATTACCCGCCGCACGCCCCTGCTGCAACTTCCTGCTGCAGTAGGAGCTTATGCTTCTCCTCAGCTTAGGGATGATACCAAACACTATCAATGAAGATGGAGGAGAATGACCAACGGTCGATGATGACCAGGAAACATGCGTCATTTTTGTTTCTTTTGGGAAGAGAAATTGCTCCAAGATGGTAGGAAACATAATGTTTATTATAAGCATAGTAACATCTATCATATTTTAATAAATGATATTTTGTGGCTTCCTGTGGCGATGCGATTGTCATCTATACAGTGATGTTGGAAACAACACAACAATTTCTAAAGCCAGGTGGTAGGAGAAGTGACAAGGGATACATATGATAAGTTGAACAACTTTGGTAGCTTGACATATGTGGCATTCACCAATATCTTTCATAGCCTTTTGTAACAAAAAAATTTGACTTGTAGACTGGTGTTTTTTTTTAGATGCTCATACAACATCAAAGTTAAATTAGCATACAGTAAGAGAACATACAATGGATGTTTATTTTGACCCAAAAATATGAAAAAAAAAAAACCATATGAATGCAGGTAAGCAATCATAGCAAGGATGAATCCTAATGAGTGGGTAGACAGAGTAATTAATGCAGTGTACTTAACAGGCTACTGAAAATATATACCTTAAACTTACGAACGTGCAGCATGAATGAAAAATCACAATCCCCGTTATCTCTCAAATCGTACATTGAACTGACATAACTTGAAGTTAATCCCATATCCGTGAATGCTAAGCTAAAAGTTACCTGAAGTGAGAATTGTTATGTTCATCTAAAGACTGGTAACAAAAGGAACATAGATCGGACATTTCGGATGAACATGAATATATTAAAAGAACCGCCATTCGGCACAATCAACAAATGATGTTCAAAATCTCCTATGTTACTTAAGATTGAGTATGACAGATAGAACTGCGATGAACTAAGAGTCGTAACTCCATATTAAACATGCATGAATTCTAGTGACTGATGCTGGTTCTATTCAATGTTCCAAAAAGGTATTAGCAACAAATGTTACCAGTAGACTGCCCTACACGCATCCCTGTTTTGCTTTTACCACAGGGAGATGCTTGTAAAAGGGGCCCAGTCTAAGCAATATTCGTAGGGGCAAGCTTATGTCGACCACCCTAAAAAAAATTGAACATGAAAGGCAACATTGCCATTTACCGCGCGCCCTAACTTTTACCACCAGGGATTATTATGACACCACTTCATTTACATAGCTCTAAGCCGTGTCTCCAACGTCTCCGTATCAGGGATAAAATGGACATTTGCTGGATTATCTTTTTGAGAGAGATCATTTTATCAATGAGGAAAGGAAGGTAAGAGAAAGTAGCTGTAAGTTTACAAAAACCTTTTGGTTTCTTCTCAATGCCACCAAATTTCATGAAAAATTTAAGAGAAAGTCTGTATGCAAAGAAATTTACCAATACTTACCTACCGATTTATTCGTACAATATTGAAATCGGTCATTCAGTTAACATGTCAGCATGTTATTAAAATATGTATGCAGTAAAATATTTTTTTCAGAATTTCATACTGATAAACGTAAAAGAAGAAAAACGAAAATTTACTGCATCACCAATTTTCTCTGACTTCTATATCTCGGGAACTGCTGCTAAAACATATCTCTCAGAGTGTACAGCGCACCTTTAATTTTCTTAGTAACTCATATCTCCACCCAGCATGAAGCAACAACTTTGAAAAATCCAAATTATCAAAGTCACCAGTAAATTTTGAAAGGGTAAAATGAAATAGGCGTCAATAAGAACTGAGAATTGGAGGTATGTATAGAAAGGTTGTGATTGACCAAATAAATGCACTGTTTTCCGAGCGGACAAAAAAACCACGCCTAAAAAATTTTCAAAGCTGAACATATAGCCGACTGGGGAAGATTTCTAATCTGTACTCAGAAGGTCGTAAGTTCAATTCATGCTCTTGTAGCATAGTGGTTTAATGCGTCGTGCTTATATGCATAATCTGTATATACTAGGTCACGCGAAGATCGCGAGTTCGATCCTCGCCAAGAGCACTCTTTTAATGCTCAGTGCATGTAACCTTTTGCTGAAGGAAGATAGTATATTTTTTAAACACTTATTTTTCGTTTATAAAAGATCATATATGACCAGACAGGCGTTATGACATCTGGAGATGCAAAATAAAAATTGACACTTTTTTTAAGGGGTCCAGTTTTGGTACTGAAAACCGATCCTGCTGCAACATTCTGGAGTTCATGCACACACCATTCCTTTACTCGTGCGCAAACTTATCATATCTGGAAACACATCATGCTCTTCTGTGGGCCGCCCATATTTGTGACATGAAAAATCCATTGAATAACACCTCCATCTTACCACAACGCTGGATCTCAAAAGCGTTGGTTTGGATGTCAGGCATGTTATGTGACCTTGAAGGTTAAAACCAACATAATATCACTTGACGTATTTGGTCTTATGTAAGAAAGTTGTTTTGCTCCCTGCGTTTTCTTAGTGAATTTCCATGAGCGTATGTGATTCTGCTATTTACGCGATGTTAAACGTGATCGGGAACACAGCCTATCGCCATTATGTTGCGAGAGCAAGGCATGCGAGCTATGGTACTATCCGTTGGACATGAAATCAACAAGTATGTTGGAATGCTGCATTATTCAAATTTTTATGATCGTGCCCAACGGTTACCGTCAATATAAAAGAGACAGCTGATAGCTCGGTTTTCGGAATCAAGGTCCTAATGCGTTTCTTATCGACAATTTGCTTACTGCTCGCTGCAGCTACGGCTCAAGCTGCATTCATTGGAAAGCAAGTAAATCAAGCTGATATATCGATTCCCTTGGGCTACGATTTGATATATCAGAAGCTTGTTGAAGTCAATTCACTTGCTCACGAGTTTCAAAACACTGGTTCATTCACTTCTGCCTATCGAGTTGTGATAACGGAGGAGCAGCTTGAGAAGCTATTCGAAAATTCTACTTTACAATGCACGGAATTACAACGCCAATTCACGCCAGATGAGGCCAAGTTGCTGTTCAATCAGACTACGGACATATTAAAGCAATTTGGTGATTCTTTACAGACCTTCATTGCCCTCAAGAAAAAGTACAGGCTTGTTTTCAACGCAGCTGGTTTCGAATCCCGGATCAAGCAGTTAGAAGACCATGTTGATCGGCTAGAAGACTGTTTTAAGACACATTTATCTGATGAAATGGCTATGAACGCAACTGAAGTCAGAGAACAGTTTGACAAGCTTTTTGCGAACGCTTACGCCCAACTGAAAGCTTAAGGCCACCGGAAGCTGCTAAACTTATCTATACGCTCTTGTTATAGGCATGATGCGCTTAACCAGGCTTAAATGCTTGCTAATAAAAGTACTAAAAAATCGCAATTGTGTAGGCATTGCAATGACGTTGCGTGAAGCTGTGGTATGAATGTAGGGAGAACCACGAAATATGAGAAATAGGTAATCTATTGAAAATTGCATCCCATATCAATCAATGTGTATAGAAGAGCATTTTTGTTCGTTCGCTTTTTTTCTTCAATCTAAGGAGACATTACAGATAATACCTCTTTTATGTTAGTTCACCTTCACAGCAAATTGCATTTATAGCTAACTGGTTGTCAGCACTAATATTTAAACGTCGAGAATATATGAAATGAAAAAATGAGACCCAGTTTGCCAAATAAGCAAAGGTAATAATAATGTGCCACGAACACATTTTCTCAAAAGCATCCAATGACAAAAGGAGCAGAAAGCTGCCGGCAATTTGGCTGTGGGTAAATTCTCATGAATAAATACCAAATGCGTATTCGGAGGCGCAAGAAAGGAAGTCGAAGAGTGGGGAGCAATGAGTTTTGCCATGTGCCATAGAATTTTGAGCAACCTTAAGCAGTAAAGGATACGTTTTCTTACCTTGTGGTCCCATTGGCTGGTTGACTTCAAATGGGATACGCTTGGTTGCCTCACGTGTCTGTAAGAAAAAACATGTTTTAGCATTACAGAGTCGCCTGAAAACCTGGCATAACGGCACATCTGATTATTTGAAGGGAAAGAAACTTCCACAGACTGTTGCAGGAAGACAATGGCATCTTCAAAATGACAGAGAGCTGTGCATGACCCCGTCTGTGTCCAACCATGGTACTGCAAGACCACTGATGTCAATTATCGGGGGTTAAAAATTTAACCATTACTTTTGGAGCAAACCCGATTTGCAGTTTGAACATTTTTTTCCCTTGTCCGCAACCTCGTTTGTAGAGAATCGTTTAGCATAATCAGTGAAAAAACACTTTTTATATTAGTTATATCTGATTAATAACCCTATTGGTCCTCTTGTGCATATTATTTGCACCTCGAATGACTGACTGGGACATTTCTGATTACGATGGTGAAGGCGACAGCGTCGATTTCGATCATGATGCAAGTGATACTGATTCTTGGTCAGACGACGAACGTCAGCAACAATTTTTCGATCCAACTGAAATAACAGAATCGATACCACTGCTACCATTTGATAATCAAGTTGGAGGTAAGGCTCACCCATATCATTTAATGCAACAACGCTCCCATCCTCCGTCGTTGGCTAACACAATGCGATTTGCAGGCCACGCGTCCATTTTTCGCTTTTCGAAACGTGCTATATGCAAAGTAGCTACTCCAGCTGAAAGAAAGTTTTATGAACATCTTGCATCAGATCATCATTTGCTGATTCCTTTCACTCCACAATATCTTGGCGTCCTCAACGTTTCTTATCGCCAGCCAAGTACCGATCAAACAGATAGGCAATCTCATCTCATGCCGGAAGTCGTTTTTGATAAAAACAAACATCTTTTGAGAGACTGGATGTCACATCAGAATAGTACGGCTCATTCAAGATCCAGCTCGCCTAATCAATCGCAGGATCGCCTTGGTCATAATCTTTGTGGCAATTCTGATTCAGCCTCGACATCAAGTCACTCCTCTGATCGTGCCACAAGTCAGCCAAGAAGAATCAACAAAAGCTTTCAAGAGCAAGTGCTGAGCGAAGTGTTTTCTCCACATGCTTTACGAGAGCGGTTAAAGCAGGTTCGGGGATGGCATCATAATTATTCAAAGCACCGCAAATCATCCCGCTACTATGTTGAGAATCCAGTCTACAGCAAGGATGTTGTAAATACGGCAGACAACTTTCAATTGAGCCAACCAGCAAAGTTGAGGAGGCATTCATCTCAGAATTTATTTGATGATTTAATAGACTGTTCACCACGGTCGAATTCAATACCTACCTCAAGAAGCTTATCACATATCGAACCTATACCATTTCCTTACGCGACATCCAATAACAGCTTGGAAACATCGTTTGATAATCACTCTAGTATCCACCTCCCTCAGAATCCATCCTCTCTGTATAAACAATCTCTCTCCAACGCATCTGTATTGTCCGCTTCTAGTTCTTTCGATCCGACCTTAGCGGATGTAGGTGGCCGCTCAGTAGATAGAATATCAGTGCAGCTGCGACGTCCTAATATCGTTTCAACTACTTCTGCCCCACAAACTCCAAAATTGCGTTCTCACAAAGCGCATCGTCATAAGCGTGGCGATGATATACCCGATGGCAGTCCATCTCCATTAAACGGCGACGATGGAGAGATCATTTTCGAAATGGATGACCTTGAAGATAGCCTACCTCGGCCTATGAACACAAGTAGCTCTTATTCAACGTTACCGGATCTAGTAATCGCTCGTGACTCTTCAATCGTACAGGAAGGTTCCAGCAAACCACTGCTAGATGATCAAAGGTTTGAGGATGAAGCTTACAGCGAGGCAGGACCTCATTTTTCGGAAGAGATGGCGAACCCAACAGAAGGTGAAACAGTATCCTCCACCTTTAATCGAATCAGCCGTCCAAACAACCCATGGTCACTTCAACTTTACAACAAGGGACTGCAAAAAATGAAATCACAGAAAACGCAATCTACCAATGAAACAAGTGGTGAGCATGTACAACAATTTATCTTAATAGAGGATCTGACCGACGAACTCAAGTATCCTTGCGTACTTGACCTCAAGATGGGAACTCGACAATATGGAGTATATGCTACTGAAGCAAAAATGAAAAGTCAGACAGCAAAATGTGAAAGCTCGACAAGCAAATCGCTAGGCGTTCGTGTGTGCGGTATGCAGGTAAGACTGACCTTATGATGGAAGTAAAGCTAGCCAGCCCATGGCGGTATCTGATTGTCGTTGAATATATAGGTTTATAAGCGCAATATTTCTCAATTTTTATTCCAAGACAAGTACTACGGAAGGGGTCTAAATGCGGTTACATTCCGTAACACGCTCGTGGAATATCTTGATAATGGCGAATCCTGTCAAATACAGCATATTCCAGTGCTTCTGCGCAAGCTGCGGCGTCTCGCAGGCGTTATACGACAGCTGAACGGATATCGCTTCTACACCTCCTCACTGCTTGTAATATATGACGGCGATAATGATAGCAAAAGGAAAATCGACATTCGCATTATCGACTTTGACCACTGTGTCAGTGCAAATGAAATTCTCGAACATGGCGACAAGATGACCTATCCACCAACGCACGATGGTCCAGACAAAGGGTATTTATTAGGCATAAAGACCCTAGTCAATTGTTTTGAATACATATATCGAACATATGGCGGTGGTGACATTGAGGTCGTCGAAGGTGAAGACGTCTTTCAAGGCATTGGAGACAATAACAGCCCTTTGGGCGATGATTAGATATAAGCATCTAGCACATGCAAATTTTTTATTTTAACCACTTCGTACCAGTGTACAGTTACATCCAAAATTTTCTCCTTAGTTGTATATGTTGACCTGAACTTACAAAAAGTATCCTACGTTCCGTAGTCGCTCGCCTTCGATTGTCCTTCATGCATGGTTCAGGTTTTTCAGTCTTCTGTAAATTTGAGCAAATGCATGGCATGGACATAAATAAATTTCTTTACACTCTTTCTGCGCAATATCACCAGTTGCTTCGCGAACGATTCACAGACCAGTGTTTATCAGTGGTCGATGTAGGATTTT